TATAGAAGTGGCTTGGGATCGAGGCGCTTTCAATGTGATTTGGAGCATTCAGATGGAGCCACTTGAAACCGGCTTCGGGGGAAACCACATGTAAAGCGCCTTAGGTGACTTCACATAAACACGGCCTAAAGCTTTCTTCAGTTTATTCATGTTATTAATCAAGTCCTTGCACAGTAGAGATGAAAATGATTAGGAGTGTACTACATTATGGACAATTTCTGTGACTTTTGTCCTACAATCTTAATGCCAACAATTAATATGGCACAGTATTTTAAGTTTGTTAATGCATTGATTCACATTGCATTTACATATTTGTGACTATGCAAATATGTAGGTAGTGAGTAGTAGGCATCCTTCCATCTCGGAAGATGATGGTAGCACTCTATTGCAGATATCACGCAAAATTGCAGATTGTATAAATTTTTCTTCTGCAATCATGAAAATTTATCTGCAGACTGCAGACTGCAGACAGGTATTTTGAACACTGCAGTCTGAATTTGAAATATAGTCCCTGTTAGTGAGCTGTGCAAGAATGGACTATATCAGTGGCCCCAAGGTAATGTTCTGCACCAGTCCAAAAAATACTTACACGCAAGAAATTTGTTTGTCATGATAACCTCGGTCCCTAAAAATACCCAAAATAAAGCATTCTGAAGTAATGTATGTCAAAATTGTGAAGAAAGAAAGCATATGCCATCAGGTAACCCCGTACCACATTTCAGGTCTTTTGGTTTTAATACCTGCTGCTGCCAGGTCTGATCTGGATATCCAGGGTTCTAGCTAGGATTTAGTTTTAGCGTAGTGGTACTGGCCACATGTCAAGGGAGCGAAGCGACCGAGAGGGGGGATGGGGCAGAGCTTTTAAAAAATTGAGCTAAAAAAGGGTCCATTTGAGGGATACCCAAAGGGAAAAATGTTATTTCTAAGGTGTATCCTTGATTGGTAATTTTTCACATTTGATCTGGCATTCTTGAACATAGAAATACAGTCACAATGCCTCCATGCTGTATTGAAAATTTAGTGTAGGGGGTCAAAATTATAGCGTAGGGGCCCCTAGTTAGAATCCTGATATCTCAACAGCTAATCAGCAAGAAGCACCACCTACAAATTGGTCAATCAGACCATTTTAAGTAAATACTGCTTGCCTATTTACCCTTTCTTTCCAGCACCAAATATGGTCATGGCACACAAGACACTTGTCATTTTGGTCTGAATGCTCCCCAAAGGTTGACAATTATAGTAATACAACTCTAAAGTGACGTATGCCAAAAGTGTTCATGAATTTCTGTGGTCATTATATGTCCAAGGTATCTCTTTACCTAATTTCAGATCATTTTGGCTTCATTACCAGGTCTTAAGAGCCCAAGATATGCATGTTTGTTAAAAAAAATAGCCCCAAAAACTAATTGAAATATTTTTAAAGGCCTGTATAAAAATTCTTCCGCGTATAACCGTAGCTCACGTATGTTCATCCAGCCCTGTAAATCTACACGTATGTTCATCCAGCCCTGTAAATCTACACGTATGTTCTTCCAGCCCTGTAAATCTACATGTATGTTCATCCAGCGCTGTAAATCTACATGTATGTTCATCCAGCCCTGTAAATCTACATGTATGTTCATCCAGCCCTGTAAATCTACATGTATGTTCATCCAGCCCTGTAAATCTACATGTATGTTCATCCAGCCCTGTAAATCTACATGTACGTTCATCCAGCCCTGTAAATCGATACGTATGTTCTTCCAGCCCTGTTGATATATGTCCAGCCCTGTTAATATACACGTATGTTCATCCAGCCCTGTTAATATACACGTCTGTTCTTCCATATTTGCCCAACAGGTTCTGGGAATGCACCAGGAGTGGCTAGGGGGAGATGTCCAGAATGATATCGGTGGTGGACAGAAAGTTTTACTGTTTAAGGAGGCCCTGAAGAAGTACAAAGATGACAAGGATCTCATTGTCATGTTTTCTGACAGGTTAGTAGTTTGAATAACTCTATAACTAAAGTATAAGGCTTGAAACAGGTTAATTCTATAAGTAGCATAAAACTTTGGAATTTTGAACATTTATTCTCATACCACATTGCAGACTTTTCCAAATTCCAGTCTGGATTGTGCTGGCATTTGCAATTATAGAAACAAGAAAGTTAAAAAATATAGAGTACTGATTGAGTTCAGTAAAATTGGATAGGTCTGACAATCTGTAAAATTGGATAGGTCTCTTTCGGAATGAAAGACTGTGAAACATCGGAGAACAATGTCAGTATTCACAGTTTGTCAAGTGGCCTTTACATGTAAGTACAGGTTTATATGTTTAGCAAATTGGTCATGTACAGGATGGCTGAGTTTTTGTAGCACATTATGTGACAGACAGGTGTGTCCAGTTTGTTGGCATTCCGCGTCTGTCTTAGGTAGCCATTCTCTACTCTCCAAACAGAGGTTTGGGTATGGGTTGTTTTTGGCGTTATTTTTATTTTATTTTTTTTTTATCAGGTTTTTTTTTGCACTGGAATTTTTCTTTTTTGTTGGGTTGGGTGAAAGAAAAATTCCAGTGCAAAAAAGATACCCGGATAAAAAAGTCTAGAAACACGCCATAAATAACCCCAAACCCAAACTTCTGCTTGGAGAGTAGCCATTCTCTAAATTCTGACTTGAGTAGTTCTTTTGGCAAAGGTTAAGCAGAGGTAAGAATGTCATGGCAGTAAACATTGTTTACATGATTTTAAAAGCCAACAGGGCGTCGGAAATCCCAAAATTAACCTTAAACCTGGTTTCATAGCTTAAGTTTTTGCTGGCCGAAGTGTACTGAAAAACTCTATAGTGTGTGGGTATGTAAGTGAGTGACAGACAATTGAACTGTTAGACACATCAAAAACGTACATGACTGTCGGTAACCGAGTCCACAGCATCACTTGTAAGGTTCCTTTTTGCGATAGAAAATCTTTGTACTAAGTAGTTTTAGAGGAAAGGCTTGTTAGATAAGATTGATATCAGTTTTAGTTGTAATTCAACATAGGACTCAGAAAGTGCCTGCAAGTTTGACATTTCAATTGTTTTTTTGGTTTCAGTTATGATGTGATCATCACTGCAGATAAGAAAGAGATCTTAAGAAAGTTTGATGACTTCAATGCCAGAGTTGTGTTTGGAGCTGAGGGTTTTTGCTGGCCTGACAGAACCCTTGCTGTAAGTAACTGCTACTTGTCTTTTGGTGAAGGACCTCAAATGACCACTCTGGAGACATCCACGTTGCAGGAATCCCAATATTGTTTGCTGTGGTCATGACCAGTTTTTGCTCCCAGTTACCAATCCCGTGTTCACACACAGGCACGCACACACACACACACACACACACACACACACACACACACACACAAACGCACACGCACGCACGCACACGCACACACACACACACACGATCGCCCCTAAAAACATAACCTACTTGGCGAAGGTAACTGACCATGGTTACATGGCTTACATTCGGAGACTGAGGGCATTCTTCTCTGCTACATCTCTGAAAAACATAGGGAAAAACTGGGGAAAAGGGAATGTAGAAAATAGGTCATTTCATGTCATGTCAGAAATGAAAACTAACATGTTATGCATACTGTTAGGTTTGTCATGTTTGAATTGAAGTCTAGTGATCAAGATGTGACAATATGTTTGAAAAAAGATTAATTTTGGAAGAAGAAAGTATGGAAAAATATGTGGATAAGCTAATGTCAAATGACTATGATATGAAAAAGGATTCTGTTATTCTTCATCAGGACCTGTACCCTGAAGTGCGGCTAGGTAAACCATATCTCAATTCTGGAGGTGAGTCTTTCCAAAAGCATTTTTCATTTTTTTTTTGTTCCTCAAAAACAGATTAAGACACTGCTCCCAGACCTGACAGTTTGTTGATCCCTACAATGACATTTATTTGTATTTTAGACTGCATTTAACAAGTCTGCAGGTCAATTTGCTATATGTAGCTAGGATTAACTGTGGTATCTGTTTTGCCTTCCAGGCTTCATTGGGTATGCTTCAGATCTTTACCAGATTGTCAGTCATACGTCAATCCAAAACCAGCATGACGACCAGCTGTACTACACCAGGATCTTCCTCAACCCTGAACTGAGAGTAAGTACTAGTAGTGCTATTGTCAGGATACACCAGGCTTTCAGGGTCCAATTTGGTACTGGGTGGAAAATGGCTGTGTTAATGGCTCACTCTCCTCTATGGATTTACACATGTTTTAGTCTGATGGGGATGATGACCACAAGACTTGTGACAACTGCTCACATGTTTCAAACTGCCAAATTCAGTCAGACTGGTTGCTTTTAGGGTGCACATAGGGTGTTTTTATTTTGCTTTGATTCCAAAAAATTTGCTGCTGATTTGGGGCAGAGTGGCATCACTGCATTTTGTATTCCCGTCAGCAGTGTTTGTGAAAAGTTGTGAATGTATGATACTACAGTTGAATGCCCCCCCCCCCAATCATGCCCACTTTGCTTGCACCACTGTATCTGGCAGATGCTTTTTTAATTTTAGGTATTAATGGCTATTACTAGTATCAGTTAACTAAAGGCTGTTAGAAATATTGTCAAAGTATGTAACATTACTTAATTTGAGGAAAGTAGTAATTGGTGGGGCAACCTAAGTTCTGATGGGCAACCTAATTTTTGCCATAGGTTGCCCACTGGGCAACCTGGTTCAAAAACGTATTTCGTACACTGCTTAGATTACAAAACCACTTGGATAATTTGCTACAAAAGAATCATCACAATTCAGTGTCCCTACTGGTGTTTTAAAATCCTGTTCTCATGTCAACAATACTGACTGCCTGTATACTCCATGCACCACACAGCCCATGGGTCAGAAAATAAGTTCAGAAGCTAGTACATGTATGTTGGTGGATGTACATATAAGCAGAAAATCCCCTTACTGCCATGAGCACTAGGTTGCCAGATTGTAGATTCAGGTGCCTTCTTTTAAAATTAGCTGCTTCACTGCAGCAAGATTACCCATGGAAATAACATGCTGTTCTGGTTGTCATATAAATTTTTATTGTGTTGCTATTGTTTAACCCTTGTTCTGGCCTGCTGGCATTCTTTAGTGTCTTTACACATTATTTTTCAATAATTTCTTGTCTTAATTAGGTCATGAACCCCCAACTTTATTTTTGCCCTGCAGTGGCATAGTTATTTCCGTATTTGTTGCTTTTTGCCGCGTTGTATTGCATTGACCGAGAAATACCACCAAATTGTACATATACAGAGTTCTATATAGATGGTACTGTATGTGCAAAAGAACAATTGTTGCGTAAAATAAATGACCATTATGCGCACAAGTCTTAACATGCATCGAAATACCCTCAAAACTATCCCAGAACACACCACGCTACTCCATTGGTGTCTATGTTTTGATCAAGAAAGTTACGTTACAGACTTAATTTCAGGGGCAATAAGAAAAAAAAATCTGTTTTGTGTTCTTAAAGAAAGCAGGATTTGACAGGACAATACAGCAGCTGCTTTTCCCTATAACCTCCTTGGTTTTTATATCTGTTGTCACTCATACATTGTCCTTTGTTGATATATTGCAGGAAAAGTTCAAAATGAAACTTGACCATACATCAGAAATCTTCCAGAACATGAATGGTGCAACAGGTAAGCATACTCACTTCACTCACCCACATGTTGTACAATATCAAACATATTCATGTATGTTAACCCTAGGCCTAGGAAACAAAACTGTAATAACCCACCATCCTTTTGACGGGTTTGTTTGACTTTTCTGTGACATGACTTCAGGTATGAGTCGGTCCACATGTGTGGCACTGTCCAGTGTTACCATGCCATGAGCTCTGATGTACATGTATGTCTTCTTACCTCTTTAGCTGATCTTACCCTCAAGTTTGAAGATGACAAGACCAGGCTGAGGAACAGAGTGTACAACACAGAACCTTGTATCATCCATGGGAATGGACCACAGAAGGTAAGGCCAGAGTCAAACAGAATGTAGGAGTTAAGCCTCGGTCACAACCCGCCGTACATGCTTTTTGTCCGTACGTTTTTTGGGAGGCTACGTCTGCTACGTTTTTTCTGAAAACGTGGGGAAGGAGTGGCATCGACGCACATCACTCGCACGGTTTCGCAAGGTGTAAGACTGAGTGTGGTCTGCACGCCACGTCTGGCCGTGAGCGGTTGCGTGCATCGTACGTTGCGCAAGTGGTGAGTTGTACGTGCTTACAACGTACGATCTCTGTGCGATTGCAACTTAACCGTAAGGAGGCCGTACTCACACGTGCGTCTTTCGTACGGTACATACGGGGCACGCGCGTCGCCCGTACTCGCACGCACGGGTGGTGAATCCGTAGAGTGCACACAGAAAAAGTTTTACTTGCACTTAAAGTTCTACGGCGTGTCTGCGTGCTCCCAAATCCGTAGGATTCCGTACGGAGGCGGTACTCACCACACACAGATGCCCTGCGTTTGCCCACGTTTTTGCACGTAGACAGCACGCAGATGCACGTACGGCGGGTTGTGACCGAAGGTTTAGGCTATGTAGGACTATTGAGCTATACCACTCGACTCTCAGGAGGGGGGGATAAGCTGCATAATGTATTGTGTATTATAATGGATATCAACTTTGTAGTATTACTGGTACCATTACTGTTAATGTGATGTCTGAAATTTTCAGCAGTTGTTGTGATTGTTATGCATTATATACCCAGAGGTTTGAAATCTCATATTTCTTGTTTTTTCCTTAAGTTGGCGCTAAACTCAATTGGGAACTACGTTGCTGATAGCTGGACCTTTGATGAATGCAACAGTTGTAAGGAAAATACTTTCAGCTTAAAGACATACAAGGTAGGTATCTCATGTCAATGGGACAAATTATTTATGTGATATTTAAGAAGCCAACTCATTTGTCATCAACTTCTAGGCCAAGGTATGGGCAGCAAGAAGACGTTTAGAATAATGTTAGAAATGCCATACATTTATATCAATATACATGTACTAGAATAATGTGAATAAAAACCCTATCTGTGAATGATATTGTCACTCCCTTGTGAACTAGGATGCTAACAGTCATCTTCGGCTACAAAGGACTACTAAGTTGAAGTTGATTGTGGACTACAGTGGATTCCCTATCCAAACTGTTTATATGTCAGAAGCCCATTTACTTCAACACAATATCAAAGGGCCTGCCAGCTGCTGATTCATGACATTTTCCCTTTCCTAACATTGAGGGTGATGTTTTGTTTCCTGATGTTTTCCCCCCAGAGAGATGACTACCCTGTTGTGGTGATAGGACTGTTTATCGAGCAGCCTACCCCGTTTGTTCCTGAATTCTTGAACAAGATCTACAACTTGGACTACCCAAAGAACAAGATTCTACTCTTCATTCACAACCATGTAAGATATAACTCTGCAAATGGGCAAGTGTGGAATTCAGTCCTAGAACCCTAACTTAACACATTATAATGATTCATTTTGGGATTTTTTTTCTATTTTCAGAGCAAAAATGCATATTTTTGGTTGGCATGTGGACAGCTTTTGCATCAGAGTTGGGGAGGGGGGTAACCTGGAAGAGGCCAGATTCAGAAAAGTCTATTTCTGAATTATGTTGGAATAGTCCATTGGTGGGCAGAAGTAATGCTCAGATTGACTTTTAGCAAAAGGTTTCCTGTTTTTATATACATGTACTGATATTATTCAGGCATAGGCCACACCGACTTAATTTTATGGATAACATCCTCTGAAGACCCCCAAACTAGTGCATGCGGGCGAATAAAAAAAAGTCCAGCCAAAAATAAAAATGCTACTAAACCACAGGAATACAAAGCTAGCATTGTGAATTGCAACAGTACATAGCGACGTATACGACAAGCCGGCACATGCTGGCTTTTTGCAGAATTACAACCGGCTCCGTATTGTCACTAACTACCATGGACTAGAGTCCTAGTCTAGAGGCATAGAGCGTGTTCCTTTTTTGAGAACAGACTGAGAATTGAGAATTGAGTCGGTGTGGCCTTATGGTTGCTAAAATCAGATTAGACGATTGGTAAATAAAAGTCATGTTTTAGGAGGAACACCATGCAGCTGAAGTGGAGGAGTTTGTGAAAAGCTATGGCGGGAGCTACAAGGCCGTGCGAGAAGTTCCCCCTGGTATGAACATGAACCAGTGGTATGCCAGGAAACAGGGACTGTAAGTACATACAAATATCATATTATCCAGAGTCACCTACTAAGTATGTAAGTGTAAATCTGTCTGTAAATGAAAAGATGATTAGAAAAACATCTATTTATCATAAATGTTGATCTGAACAATTTTTTTTCAGTCTTACTATCATACCCTTCAAACCATGACCATGTAGCAAATGCCTTAAGTATGAAATTCCTGCCAGTTACCACCATCATATAGTATTTTCTGACTATGCAAATTAGATCATATGAGGTTCATAATTGTCATCTAGATAATATTTGTATATATCGTCACTTGAGCTAGCTACATACCAAAAATCAGTATGATCTTCTTCAATTTACCTCTTTTTTTTACAAATGCCCCTGCAGCTCTAGAACAAGTTAGGGGGCCCAAACTTATGTCCCTTCTTAACAAGCTCAAGAGCTGTTTACCACCCAAAATCGTGACCAGAACACAAGATTTCAAAAGTGGAGCTTCTGCTGCAGTACCATAACAAGCTGCTAGGGTGGCCAAAATCATGTACATACAGGGTTCTCCCCAGAAAATTTTAGTATGAGGGAGGAGACTTACCGAGCACACACTAAGCGAACGCGTGTCACCGGGGGGGTGGTCCGGAG